GCCTGAATCATCAAAATTAGCAAGTTAGTAGAAAATAAAATCAAAGTTGGAGAAGATGGCTTACTTGCTTGCTCCGACACAAACTCAATTACGAACACCACATTTTTTAAGGTTGCAAAGATATTGGACTTGGCTAGATTTGGTGTTTTGAGAGTTATGACTTGTCCCATGTCATAAAATCCAACTTCTATGGGATTTTTCGTCTCAAGTGTATCTTCTTTGATGAATTCTAGACATTCCCCATCCACTTCTTGCTCTTGAATCTTTGGAAAGGTTTCGAAGATGCCTTTCTCACCCTCTTCTTCCTTGGATTGCTTGATCCTGCAAGGAATAAGGATATTTGGTGAAACGGGGTCAAGACGAATTGAATTTAAGCTTACCTTGGTTGTAGTGGACGGCATAAAGGGCATATGAGGTTGCGGTAAGGGTGGTTCTTCCCTTACTGTGGCCTTGTTATTCTCCTCTTCTTCGAGCATCAGCTGTTCATCCATGTTTTGGCTTGGTTTGGATGTCTTGAGTTCACCTCCAACCTCCATAGCACTTCCCAAAGTGATAGCATCATGGATTTCAAAATCTTCCTTCAAATTTTCAATAGTTGAGTTGGAGAGTTCACTTTGCTCTTGAATTTGTGTCGTGAACTCCATAATCTCTCCAAGTTGATTTTTCAATTCGCTCATCTCCTTAGCTTGATTGAGCATAGTTTCATTTTGATTTTGCTGCCCCTGCACCAAAGAGGTTAGTAATTGAAAATTTTGATCTATCTGTGGACATACTTGAATTTGATTGGAATTGTTGTAGGGGAAGCTATGGTGGCTGCATAGGTGTTAAATAAAACTTATCAGATTGCTGCCAATATCTATCTTGTTGAGCCTCCTTGGTTTGATTTTGTGAGCCCTGCACCAAAGAATTTATTTCATCAAAAATTCGATCATAATCTATTGACGAACCTGAGTTTGATTGAGCATATTGTATATGAGGTTGTGATGGCTGCATAGGTCTTGAATGGAACTCCTTTTCTTGTTGCCAATATCCATCTTGTTGGAATTGTTGAGGTTCTATGTAATCTGAATAATCTCTCCAATCCGAATTGTAAGTGTTGGAAAACATGTTGTCCCATGATTGGCTATGGCCTTGATAACCCCAAGCATCTTCATTCGCAGCGAATTGAGAATATTGCTTAATTGAATATCCTTGCCCATAGGACACACCACATGTAGGGACATTTTGCATTGTGGTCCTTTCGGCATATTGTGACAATTGAGAAGTAAGTTTCGTCAATTGAGCTTGAATGGTAGCAAAATCCATGTCTTACTTCTCTAGTATCTGAAATCAAGGAAACAAAACTAAATCAAATATCAAAAGTAAAGCAAAAAATAAATAAATAAATAAAAGACAAACAGAAACAAAGTCAGTAACTAAAAACAAAAGACACGAAAATAAACTAAAAGAAATAACAAGGGATTAGCAAAGTTGCTAATCCCCGGCAACGGCGCCAAAATTTGATGCGATGAAAGTTAAGCACTCAAATTAAACCCTCTTTTGACAATTGTAGTATATGTATAAGTAGAGATCGTTCTGGACCGGGGATTAGGAGGGATTGCTAATCTAAACTAAACTGGCTTACAAAAAGAAACTTAAAAACACTTAACTAGACTCTATAGACTCAAAACACTTAAAAACACAAACTAAAACAAATTCTAACTAATTAGACACACTAAAGTAAAGGGGGATTGGGTTTTGGACGAAAATAAAGTAAAACAAAAGAAAAACTAGAACTAAACAGATTTGCACGAAATTGGTTGTTTTGGATGGATTAGTTAGAGGTCCGTTCTTCACACATGACACACTTGTACATGAATCAATTTCCAATTGCTTTTCAATAAACTATTATGCTCAACACCCCAGATTAACCGTGATGCACAAATTAACCCTTAGATTTTCCTTTACTTATTGAATTGGATGAATGCATGCGACAACCCAAATCATTCTCTAAAAGTCCCCTATATGAATGCATAATAGAGATACAATCAGAGATCATTACGTTCAATGAAAATCATAAGTGTTGACGAGACAATTATAACTATGAATGCATGATACAATTGCCAAGAATTCAATTAACGCGATTGTGATAAACAACCTTCACTACTCATGAATATAAACTTGTAACGAATAGGTGAAACTCATTTATATTCTAGCATCTAATTCATGCATGAAAATTAAGTATGCATCCTTAATAAACATACAAGAATTAGTTATGAATAAAATAGATAATTGAATTGCAATCACAACTTATCAAATCACAATTGGAAGAAATCAATTCATATCTCAAGCATGTTCATGGCTTCAAACTTCCCCTAACTAAATGGGGGTTTAGCCACTCATAATTGCAACAAAATCAGAAAATGAATTTAACATTGGAAACAAAAGAAAGAAAACACTTAAACGCTCCAACGATCCAAGTTGACAACACGCACGTCCAAGCTTTCCTTCCTTTACTACGGCACAAGGTGTCGGTGAATGTTTGAAGGTTTGTTTGTATGGAGGAATGGATGCAAATATGAATGGATGTGTTTGGATGAAGGTTGTATTGAAATGGGAGTGAATGATCTAAAAAAATATAAACTAAATTTATGTTACACACACTTCCTTTTATAGAGGAAGTGCAAAGCAATGGAGGGGAACATGGAGTGGTGTTGAAATGATTCAAAGGTGAAAGTGAAGTAATGATGCAAAACATGGGTAAAATGGAGTGGTGTTGAAATGATTCAAAGGTGAAAGTGAAGTAATGATGCAAAGCATGAGGGGTAAAATGAAGTGGTGTTGAAATGATTCAAATGTGAAAGTGAAGTAATGATGCAAAGCATGATGGGTAAAATAGAGTGGTGTTGAAATGATTCAAAGGAGTGGTGTTGAAATGATTCAAAGGTGAAAGTGAAGTAATGATGCAAAGCATGAGGGGTAAAATGGAATGGTGTTAAAATGATTCAAAGGTGAAAGTGAAGTAATGATGCAAAGCATGGGTAAAATGGAGTGGTGTTGAAATGATTCAAAGGTGAAAGTGAAGTAATGATGCAAAGCATGAGGGATAAAATAGAGTGGTGTTGCAACAATGAATGCAAGTAGGGAACATAAATGATTGTGCACATGGTAGAGAAAGGAAAGGGAGGTGGAATGGTGTAGAAATGAGTCAAGGGTTAAGGTTGAGTGATGATTGATGCAAGAAATTTGGAATGATGGAGGGAACAAGGGTGGTGTTAGGCAATGAGTGAATGAAATAGACAAGGAATGTTGTTGGAACTTAGGGACATTGAGGATTAGGAAAGATTAGATCAAAATAAGGTAATATTGACTTATGTTTCTTCTTTGGTTGCTAAGCTCTTTGTCATTAATTATTCTTTCTTTTTAACACATTACAAGCCTCTTTAGTCTTCAATTTCGTCCATCCACCTTGCTCCATGCATGTGCTATCCATTCTAAGCCCAAAACTGCTCCAAAATGCACCAAAATGCACCTTATTGCTTTATAAGGCCTATGGACCTACAAACACACGAAAATAGCTTAAAAACATAATTAACTAATAAATAACAACATAAATGTATGAGAACAAGCTAACTCAGTCGCATAAATATGCTCCTATCAGTACAACACCTTATTTTTGCAGTTGTTCATCAGTTTCTTTGCTACTAGGGTTTTGTTGATTTTTTGGCTTTGTTTTTCTCTTATAAAAGATGTGGGGTGTATAGAAGATGTGGGATGTATGTACAAAATATAAGGTGTATATTGAGAATGTAGGGTGTGGGGGTATTAGGGGAAAGTATGTGGGGTGTATTAAGATAATTTTTAAGTGAAAAAGCAAATGTGGGGTGTATTAAGTATGTTGGGTTTATTCAACAATTTATGAGATGTTAATATAATAAGTTATATTTTTGTTCTTGATAGAGTAATTTTTTTATTGGAAGATTCTACGGTACTTTATTCAAATACAAAGAATTGGTATTATTTAAGACAGACTATGATGATTTAAAATTACATTTAAAGATTACATAATAATGATACAGCTTAAGTTAACGACAAAAAATGACGAGATTATTACTATATTAACGTTTATTATTATATGTATGACGTATTATTACTGTATAAACTTATAATATTACTAGAGAACATTATGCACTTACACCAGATCGTTATCGTGTTGCAATATGACGTTAACCCATAAAGTCTAAGGTATGGTTATACCGTAATTATTCAAATATACACTCCAAAAAGTTACATAATTATCTTAAAGTTATATTTAATCATGCAAAATGACGTTGGTATTACTATACCAAGGTTGCCCTTTACGGTGTGCACATTAAGTTACATCGTGTAATCGTTTAAATTTACCAGATTATTTATTTTTTTTATTATATAATTGTGAAATGAGGAATATTTTGTTTTATTTCCTTACTATTATTCCCAACAGGATCCTCTTCAGATCCTTTTGACGAGAATCATGGGATCTGTGAATCGTATTTGTTCATCGTACGTTGTGTGGTTAGTTTTTATCAGGTGTTGTTTGTTTAATTTTAAATAAAAATATTTAAAAATAATTTCTGATCACAGTGTACGATGATTAGACACAATTTACAAATTCTAATATCCTCACAAATAGAATCCGATCAGGATCTGGATTCCTATTATTCGCCTTGAAGCATTTAGGCTTTGAGAAAAGTAAGTCGTAGGTGTTAGCAGTGGGCCAATGGCAATCTTGAGATGATGAATACGATTTATCCACGAAGTTCAGTACGTTCCCATGTGTAGACCAAAACAAATAACACCAATACGAATTTGGAGTAGGATTCTCTTTTCTTTCTTTTTCTCTCTCCTTTCTGTCTCTTATTTGAACGATCACCTACGTCAATATCTTATATTAATTTTTTATAGAAAGAGAATGTGTGAGGAGGGGATGGAAAAAGGGGACAAGAGAATCCTAGTCTTACGAATTTAACCAGATGCAAAAATGTTATTAAATTTTAATCAATAATAAATTTGGATTGATGACAGAAGAGCAGACTCTCTGTGATTGAGCAATTGCATAACATGCTAGCTTCTAATACAGAATTAAATTCTCTTATTGTACGTCGCACAAAATTAAAATTATAAGAACAACACATGTGTTATACTTATTCATGTCTTTTGGTGTATTTATGCATATTGTATGTGTCGATCGATATATCATCAGGCTGCAATAGCAAGGAAGAGTCCGACGACGGCGGCGGCGAAGACTTGGTATCCAGAAATGATGATCCCGCGAACGGCGGAGGATGGAGGAGATGCAGGTGCGGTGTCCATAACAGTAATAACAAGCCTCTGTCCCGATTTACAGTGATCGGCAGCTGCACAAATGTACCATTTGTTTCCGGGAGTCTTTAGCTCTATTCTGTCGTTTCCAGATGTAAGTGGTGGTTGATCATTTTCTGTTGGTTTAACACATGCATTGAACCCAGTTCCGTTCACCTTGAACACATTGTGGGGTGGGTTCGTGTACTTGAACACTGCATGCACGTACAAATTTGCATGATACGTTGTTATAAATTAATCATTTGTTTATGTGTATACGGTAACAATAATGTTCTTTTGCCAGACTTATATATGATTTGTCAGATTGTGAATCTCGCATATATATCTATATATATATTGTGTGTGTGTATTACCTAGTGCATCACCAACATGAAACATTTTGTCCTTGGCCCACGCTGAATAATCAACACCAGTGTTCCAGCCGCTATCACCTCCGACGACATAGTCCGTTGCCATGGCGATTGTAGGAAGAAGGACTACAACAAGGGTAACTAGGGTGACAAATTTGTTGGAAGCCATTGGAGCTAATTGATTTGATAATGCAGATATTAATCTTTGTATTAGCTCTTACTTGGGTGTACTAATCTGTATTCTGGTGTGAGAATGCATGTTGTCTGGTCTATTTATAAGATGTTGAATGGTTGAATATACATCGAAACCCTCGACTTAAAAGATAAAAATATGGAAGACCTCCTTTGGTCGGCTCACCAGACTATGTGCTAATAAAATAGGTTATGGCATGGTCGGCTTTATTATGCTTTTTCCCTACTAAGGTTAAGGGACGGAAGGAAAAGGCGGGGAAGATAATGCGTGTAGTTTGTTTCTGTCTGTGGTGCAATTTGGATTGGGTCAACTAAATTCGTATATGCTTAATTTGATTTTAAATTCGATTAGGCATTTTAGAATGAAATAAAAATCCGCTTAAATCCAACATGATCTCAACTTGATTATTTGTTGGATCGTCTTGATGGCTTGCCCGTCGCTGTCAACTTAAGCCTAACCAAATTTCTAGTCCTAATTCTCTCATGCACATATGACCCATCCTGCTTCATATTATATAACTAGGTAAGTTTTGGATACAGTAATTGCACAATGAATGATAATGTTGCATTTACGTTTTATTTTGTCAGAACTTTGATATTTTCTTTTAATTTTATTTCACCTTCGTATGGTTCATGTATTAGAAATGATCTATACACTATTTGTTTTAACTACTTTATGGATGATTATGCGTAAAATTGAATTTTAACTAGTATTGATGTTGCTTGATTCAAAATTTTAAAAAGTCTTGCAGCATAAAATGTTACGAGATTGAACTCAATAAAGTTGAGCAAACTTGAACCCAACCCAAGTAAACTTGAACTCATATAAACCTATATCAACCTGAACTCAAGCCAAATCCGAATTGTGAATGTTATAGATTAGGGTTGGGTTGATATTTAAAAAAAAAAAAGATAATACTGTATTTTCCCTTTGGGGGACGAACTCATTCTCCCACTTGCAAATAATATATCTTTGTCGTGGAAATTATAATCGGAACCATCCAAATTCTTAATTTTCTTTTGAAGGAGAAAATAATTTTGTCATCCAATTGTACCAAATAAATCAAGGATGTAGGTGCCAAGTAGCATATTGATCATGAATTGTCCACTTATTTGATACATTGGATAACTAAACACTTCTAATGATTTTTTGTAGAGATGAACTTCAAATGGAGATTTAGGAGTTGGACTGCTTCGAGACGGCAAAGATACGTAATTTGCAATGGGGGAATGAGCTCAACCTGAAAGGAGAAAATGCAAGTGTTATTCTTTTTTTAACTTTTGATTCTTTTGTCACCTAGAACTACAACTTAGTGTTATTTCTTCACTTATTTTTAATCAACTCAGTAACAGGTCTCTTACAAAATCTTCTTTATAAAAGTTAAATTAAATGAGAATACCGTCTCATTCAACAACCCAATACAAGGTCGAATATATAGTATTCATCTTATGCATACTAGCCTTCATGCACGCGCTCACATGCGTGCAGAATGCATTTTTGGAATCACAGCGTACTGCACGCGATTTACACGTTTAAAATGTATTTATATGCGTAAATTGAAAAAAGGAAAGTCAAATATTTGAAGTAAATGAATAATCTTAGATCATGCTAGAAGAAACCCTTCTTAAACTAATTAAAACAACTGAATTCACGTAATAAAATCGGTCTCTATAGAATTTACATTAAGAATAGAGAAAATAATTGTTTGGGTTAAAACTTGAACTTTGGGCTCAAAAGGAAGTTGGCCCAAAAGAAGGACTATAAGGAAAGGGGCCCGAAGCCCAGCCAAAGCCCAGAAGGCAGAAAAGGGCTTTTTCCCGACTAGGTGCAGATCATTTGAACCACTTGTTCACCTACCTAGAGACCAAGTGGTGTAGACCAGCCAGCTAATCAGCCCAAAAGCACTTTACAGTGGCAGTACAAGTAAAAAGCTGATGAGTCATTACCCTTCAAGCTGCATTCGGGCAAGGTTAAAGCTCCAGAAGACCAAGCCAAACTGTCTATAAAAGAAGAAAGAGAAATCAGAGATGAGGACACTCAAACAAACAAACAAATACAAGCACAAACTCTGCTCAAGCCAGATTTGCTTTCAACGAATCTGTAGTCAGCGCAAGCCTTCATCCTTTTCGGGATCAACCCTCACCCAAAGCCTTTGTAAAAGCTCTGCTACCTTGTATAAATCCTGCTGTAGTATCGATTTCCTTCTTTAAACTCATCTCCTTATCCCTCTTTCTAAAGCTCTCAAGCCCCTCTATAAATCACAAAGATAGGAAGTTGCAAGACGACCAGTCTTGCCCGACAAGGTGAAACCTTGCCCGACCCTCTTTGTTTTTGTCTTTTCATTCATAAGTCTAGTAATATGTTGTATACTTCCATTTGTATCCAAGTTAGTTCTAGCAAGTTGATGATTAAAAGACTCCTCAGTGCTTGAATCCGATTGGAATATGTAGTCACAACTTAAATCAGATCTGAGTTCTAAACCCTCGGGCATGTAAGATTGATCATTCAAAAGTCCTTGGTCTCAAGGCATAAAAAAGAACCTTATGTGGACTTAACCCATCCACGACAGTCTTTGATAACAAGAAGTCCGAAGTTACTTGGAGCGCAAGTAATCGACCTATTTCCTAGTTTTATTTCTGTTATATTATGATTATCGTAGAACATTTGAGTATAGAAGTAATTATGATGGGAAGCCTAAAGGCCTACACCTAAGGCCCTACAAAGGCACCTATTTGGATTCATTCTGCTCTTCGGGCTCGGGTAATTAGAAGTATAATAGTCATAACACTTCTGCAATCAATGAAATAAACATTATATGTTCAAGTACTGGGTTAGTTATTGATAGGAAGCCTCAAGGCCTACACCTAAGGCCCCACAAATGCACCTTTCATAACTAAAACAGCCACTCGGGTATATATACAATTAAAACTCAACATCTGTTTTACATCTGTCATGCTAAAGATGGCAGTGGCACGCCTGAACATCTAAAAGTTAATCTTGATTGTGAGCCTCAAGGCCTACACCTAAGGCACTACAAAGGCACCTTTCAAAGTTAACCTTGTCCTTCTCTTTCAGCCTTGCCCGACAAGATTTGCCTGACAAGCCCGCCAGTGAGCAGAAGCCCGACAGAAAGCATCAGCCGGCGCCAACCTCTCGGGGAGCTGTGTGCTCCTCGTCTAGGAAACGTTCCCAACGGAAATTCTAGCCACGAACAATAATATTTAATAAACAATTGATTGAATCACTTTATTGCTAGTTCATTGTGAGGCTAAGTCCACCCCCTCCCCTTAGTGTAGATAATATTGTTTGTTAAAAAAAATCATTTGACAACTAATTTAATCACATTATTATCCGTGTGTGAAATACTTTATTATTAATCGGCATTATATGCCTTTTAAGATGTTTGAACGTGTTTAAAAATAGAGAAAATAATACTTAAAAACAACTAATTGAATCACATTATTGCTAGCCCATTGCGAGGCCAAGTCCACCTTCTCCCCCTTAGTGTAGATAATATCGCTTGTTAAAAATAAAAAAAATAATAAAACAATCATTTGACAACTAATTTAATCACATTATTATCCGCATGTGGAAGACCTTTTTTATAACCGGCATTACACGCCTCCTAAGATGTTCTGAACGTGTTTAAAAATAGAGAAATTGAATCATATTATTGCTAGCCTATTGTGAGGTACTAATTAAAAATAAATAAATAAATAATAAAAACAAAAAAACAAACCACAAAAAACAAAATTATTAAAAATAATATTGTTAAAATGACGAAAATGCCCTTGCCCTATTTGATGCATTATTTTGGGATGCCTTTGAAGTTTTTTGTCATGGGGACATTTTTGTCCAATTATTTTTGTTGAAGCTTGGTGACACCAAAATCACTATTCACTTTTCTATTCTCACACTTCTAATGATTTTTTTGTGGAGATGATCTTCAAATGGAGATTTAGGAGTCGGACTATTCCGATACAGCAAAGATAAGTAATTTGCAATGGGAGAATGAGTTCAACCTGAAAGGGGAAAATGCAAGTATTATTCTTTTTTTAACTTTTGATTCTTTTGTCACCTAGAACTACAACTTAGTGTTATTTCTCCACTTATTTCTAATCAACTCGGTTACAAGTCTCTTACAAATTTTTCTTTATAAAAGTTAAATTAAATGAGAACATCGTCTCATTCAACAACCCAATACAAGGTCGAATATATAGTATTCATCTTATGCATATCTCATGACAATCAACTAATTTTTCTAAAGTGTCACTTCGTAAAATAGTCGAGAGATATTTTTATATAAGACAACCACCAAGTTAAGTTACAACCATTGTAATTCTCTATTTTATTATATGCTTCCCTAGGTCCCAAAACGGCCACCGCCACAGGGAGAAACAACCTGTGAAACAGTCCTAATCATAAAGTCTCACGCAGAGAACAAGAAGATCAATGCTTTTCTTTGCAAATTCAAAGACAATGCCGGCTTTATTAATTAGCACCTGGTCAAAGCATAAATTTTTTTATTTTTTATTTTAAATTTTTGAGGTAATTATGTTTTGTTTTTGTTCCAAATGCATTTGTCTGGCGGCGCAGTGAGAAAATGTGTATTACTGATGGCATTTAGAAATTAGAAGAGAGTTAACAAATTATTAACCTCTGCCAGGTTCATGGACATGAGCCATGCATGCCCGAAAACTTTTTAGCCCAAAACAAAGCCATAACAACAACCGATCACGACAACTATCTGTTGGAATTTATTAGTTTATTTAAGAAATTAATTCGAGAGTTGATTTTGTATTAGATTATTTTTGGTATTTATGTATTAGGGTGTTTTAGGTTTATGTCGCTATAAATATAGCTTATATTTTACTATGAGAATTAAGTCAATCACAATGTAGTCTTTACAAGTTATGTAGTTATTTTGATAAATTTGTATTGATCTCTTCCGTTTAATTAACTGAGTAATCTTTTCGTTTTGTAATTCATTTGTTCACTCGTTCTTTATGCGTACTCTGATTCTCAAGCCTATCGAGTCGAG